CTTTCAAGGTTTTATATACTGTCCTTTGCTGATTATACTACTTTCATTTTTTTTGTTTTCTGTTCCTCCGACATCCCAAGCTTTTAGGCATTTGCCTCAGTTGGAGATAATTGCTCTTCCCCTAAATCTTGGATCAGTCAGCTCCTTATAATTATCCCATACCAAATTAGGATGATGTCAATCACAAAGGCATTCTTTGTTCATCTAGTGTAGTTGCTCCTTCACAAAGCACTGTGACTCCATCCCATTTTACCTTGTTTATTATTGTTTTTCCTTCTCTGAATATATGCTTCTGGAGAAAAGGGACATACCTGTTTTGTTTACTACTCTTTATTTCCAATGCTCCTCAGAGCACCTGACTTTGTGGTAGACTTTCTATGAATATTGGTTGAAAGAATGAATACAGTAGCTCTCTTTCTATATGTATAATTGAAATGTTTTATGTGACTTTGAAATATATGAACTTGTGTGCTATTAACGTAGATCTTCTAGGACATCTTGCTTGTTTTTTGATCTAGTCATATTTTAGCTAAAATCACTTATTGATCTGTCCTCTTGTTTCTAAAACATAGATGCAAAACACAAAAGTTCCGATGGGGAATTTGTACCTCAGACACGTCCACGTAGTAACACTCTTCCAAAGAGCTTTGGCTCTTCTCTGGACCATGAAGATGAAGAGAATGGAGATGAATCCAGGGTCATTCAGAAGGAGAAGAAACCATCTAAGGAAGCAACCCTTGAACTTATTCTGAAAAGACTAAAAGAAAAACGTGTTGAGAGGTGTCTTCCAGAAGATATCAAGGTAGTCTTGAGCTATGATTTTTGCCCAGACTAGCCTTTACAATTACTGTAATAGAGTAGTTACCGCAGCAGGTTAGAGATGGTCTGGCTGGCCTGAATCTACTCCACAAGGTTACAGATACAGAAACTTGCTTTTATCAGTATACCAGAAGTGCCATATTATTCAGGGATTGAGTCATAATAATAAAACTAAGATTAGAATGCTTATTAGTTTATTTTTGTTGGAGTCAATTGACAAGATGAGAATTTATAAAACATGAAATAGACTGAAGTGTGAATTCCAACTTTGTTTCTTAATAGCTATATGTACTGAGGTATTATCTTATGCCAGACCTTGAATGGTTTTACTATATGCACTCTGCCCTAGTCCCTTCAATAACTCTATGGCATATGTGGGTGTAATTATATCCATTAAAAAAATACTAACTTGATGCAGTGCTGTGGAAGAATGTGTTGGATGCTACTCTTTGGCAGGAAGAAGCCACATGAGAGGCCTGCCTCTCATGTGGCTTTAACTCCAGACTAACCCTAAGTAGCTGGATGCAGTGGTATGTGCCTGTAGTCACAGCCTACTTGAAAGGCTGAGGAAGCAGGATTGTATGCATGTGGGCAATATAGCAAGGCCCTGTCTGAAAGAGCAGGGTTTGGTGGTTCCTGCATGTAATTCCAGCTTCGTAGGAGACTGAGGCAGGGAGATCATGATATAATGAGACCATGTCTTTGGGAAAAAGAGACAGAAACAAAACAAAACAGCAACAACAAAAAGCCCCACTCTCTCTCACATGCCCACATGTACATTAACTTGATATGGTTGTTACAAGTACCAGATGAATTAATTTTTTTGAAGAACTATTACTCTTATTTGGTAAAGCCTATGCTTAGGGCAGTCCTTATCAAAATACTTGGCAACCCAAATCATGTATCTGATAAGATTTTCTGAGAAAGGATACATCTATAAAAGGTGAGCTTTTATCAAGGTAGTGATGAATCCTGACACATTCTTTTTTTCTTTGGTTAAGTGAGAGAGAGACAGACAGACAGTAAGTGGATTCTAGTCCTTTTCCCTTTAATCTCCATCCTGTCAGGATTGTGGGCATGAGCATGCACCTGGTATGTCATTCAAGCTGCCAAGGCTGGGACTCAAGCAGTGGTCAGCCATGTGGGATCTGACTTCCTTTACATCACACTTAACTGTTGGACTGCAGGGCTGGCCCCTGATGTACCTTCTTGACAGCAGCGTATGTCTCTCGTGATCTGAATATCAAAGTCTTCTCTGTTTTGAACAGAGCTGAATTAGTGAGCCTCATCCCTCCCCACCCTGTTACTCCTCTTTCTCTTTTAAGTGATTTTGACTGGGTTAGCTTTGTTCAGATACATTATCCTAGGCTTAAAGGATCAAACTTTAGGGTGAAATCACAGTATATGAGAGTCTACACTCAGCCATCCCCTACTGAATATATAGAGTCTAAAATAGTATTTGTCATAGGAAAATATTATCCAGTGATTATTTGTTGCTTAATCTCTCATTTCATTCTGGTCAGACAGAAGGTAGAACTTAGGAATTTTATGAGTAAGTAGAGAGTTTATTTGGCCTAGTATTGAAGGGTAAACTATGAAACATTAGCTCATTGAGATGTTAATAGCTGATCCTGTGGAACAAAGGGGAAGGGTCTGAACTAATATTTGGGAATTCTTGCCTAGTTCTAATTCTAATTCTTACAAGTTAGAATACTAAAAGAGGGCCAGTAGGTGGCGCAGTAGTTAAGGTGCTGGATTTCCACACAACCAACCACAGTTTGAGTCCCAGACCTGGAGGTTTTTGAAAATCACGCCAGGCATGTGTGTTGGGAGTTCATTTTTCACTTTGCCTCTCTCTGTTTCTCTCTGGTGTGTGTACATTCCCTATAACAAAAACCTCAAAAAAAAAAAAACCTACTAAAAGTCATAAGAAGTATGAAGAATGTGTCAACCCACGTGAAGGGATGCTGAGGTCATAAATTAGAAGTCCAAGGTCACAAATTGACATTGAGCTTTTTCCAAGATACTACTTCTATACTGCTGCCAGATTTTCTTAATAGTTGGGAGAAACACTGGATTATAAATTCTTTGTATATATGTATGGTATGGGGGTTTATCCTCTAGTCTTCAATTATTAATATTTATTATTATTTTTTAGAGAGAGATTTCTGCTATAGACACATGCATTCACCAGAGAGACAGACCGACAAAGAAAAAGGAAGTGAGAACTCATTCCCCATGGGGGATGACCCCATACTGCAGTCTCTTCTCCATTCTCCTCTTGAGATTTTGGGCACAGATGCACATGCATCTGGTGTAAGTTTCAAGCCTCTGGATCTGGCACTCAAACCGCGATTGGCCATGTGAGAGTCTAGCACCTTAAACACTAGACCACTTGATGGACTTAAAAGAATTATTTATGTAATTTTATTTATAATAATAATTTGTATTATATAAATTTGCTACAGGGCATGTATGCTCACTAGAGAAGACAGAGAGAGAGAAAGTAAGAAAGCAAGCTGTCATATCTGGAACTTAAACTGTGGTTGACTATGTGGGAGTCCAGTGCCCCAGCCACCATACGACTTGCTGGCCCCATCTATTCACTAGACTTACTGCTAATAAAAGACTATGTACAGCATTACATAACAAGTCATTATATAAGCTTACTGTGTGCTGAAAAGGCACTATTGTAAATGTTTTCCTTATATTCTTATTAACTGAATGTAGTCCTCATTAGAGACTTTTTGGTAGGATGAAGTATTCTCATTTCATAGATTAGGATATTGAACATAAAAGTTAAATAATTTGCCTAAGTCAGTAGTCATCATTTATTAAAATAAAATATAAATCATGCCATCAAAGGGGGGCTGGTATCTGTTGGGTCATCGAGAAAGTCATGATGCATTTTTGCATAGAAAAACACGTCATGGTTTTCTCGACAACTTAATACTTATTAGAGACCAGATTGTGGGACCAGCAGTTAGTGTAATGGCTATGTCACTGGACTCCCATGTAGTCGACCGCGGTTTGAGTCCCGAACCCAGTGGCTTAAACTCATGCTGGGCATGTGTGCGTGCATGCCCAAGATCCCGAGAGGAGGAGAAGGGATTACGATGTGGCCATCCCCTCGGGGGGTGATTTTTTGCTTTCTCTCTCTCTCTCTCTGTCTCTGCCTTTCTGGCGAGTGCATGTGCCCTATAGTGAAAAACCTCTCAAAAAAAAAAAGGAAGACCAAATAGTAAACTGACTGTGAAATGTTACCTGCAAATCCATGAGCAGTAGATGTGTTAGCCTGGGCTAGACTGGTGATGGTCTGCCCTTTAAATTTACATTGTGAAAATGAGAATAATAGTGCCAATGGAGTTTTTGTTTTGTTTTGTTTTGGTTTTAGAAAATGACAAAAGATCATTTGGTAGAAGAGAAAACTTCTCTTCAAAAAAGTCTACTTTACTATGAAAGTCAACATGGAAGACCGGTAATGTCTCTCTTGATAAAAGTCTTTGATTTTCTGTCTTTTAAAAAAAGAGCATGAATCACTTTTGTAGCCTACATTCTTCAGAACTCTTTTATAGAGCATTGTTTACTATAATTGGGAGACTGTCTACTTATTATAAAATGTTGAATCGTGGTGGGAGGTTAGTATTGCATGGTATTTTAGATAGATGACTATAAGATTTACTTTTTTTTTTTTTTTTTTTTTTTGCTGCTGGTGTCCAGGGAAGAAAGGCACATTGTTAAACCTCTCTATGATAGATACAGACTTGTAAAACAAATGCTGACAAGAGCTAGCATCACTCCTATCCTTGTAAGTAATTCAAGCAAACATTTCTCTAGTTTATTTTACCAAGACAAACTCTTCCAATAAAAAATTATTATGGAGCCAACCAATGGTGTAGTACTTAAAGTGGTTACATCCCATGTGACTGATTGTACTGTTCAAAACCCAGACTAAGCAACTTGAGAAACACACCAGACACTTGTATGTGCATGCCCAAAATCTCAAAAGGAGGGAAAGATGGAGGAGGGGTTCAATGTGACCATTCCCCATGGGGGTACTTTCTCATTCTCTCTCTCTCTCTCTCTCTCTCTCTGTCTTTGTCTGTGTCTCTCTCTGGTGAGTGCACACCCACTGGCAAATTAAATAAACAGAAATAGAGGCCAGCAGGTGGCATGGTGGGTAAGACGTTGAACTCCCATATGGCCAACCACATTCAAGTCCTGGACCTAACAACTTGCTTTCTCATTTTCCCTTTCTCTTTCCGTCTCTGATGAGTGCATGTGTCCCGTAGCAAATTGAAAAATAATAATAAATTAAAAATAATTCTTAAATTATGGTAGCTAGCTAGATACTGTGGCATATGATTGTAATCCCAGCTACTGTGAGACTGAGGCAGGAGGATTGTAAGTTTGAGGCCAGCCTATGCAGCAAAGATTTTTGCCATAGGTCACATGTGCTCTCCAGAGAGAGAGATGGAGGCAGAGAGAAAAAGGGAGAAATCACACCCCCTCCATGGGAGTGGCAAACCCCTCCCCCTGTCATTCTTATCTTGGAATTTGGGGCATGTGCACATCTGTGCCGGGTGGATCTCTCAATATGCTGGGTCCTAGACTTGAGATTCTCTGTTGGCTGTGTGGCATCCAGTGCCTTAACCACTATGCAATGTGCTGGTCCAAGCCCCAACTTTTAAGTACAGAAACTTAATTATGGTGGCACATTGGAGAAATAGATAGCCAAGGTAAAAAGAATTACAATTGTTGGCAAGGTTATTGATTTTAAAAGAATAGGAAAACTAGTAAGTGCTACTTATTACTACTTACATACTCAGATAGTGATGTGCCCGAAGTCACCTGCTTTGTAAGTACAGAAGTAGAGATTTAAGAACTCATATTTTAGATTCCTTGCCTAGTCTCTTTCATTTATCTTTTTGAAACTATCAGTTTGATGGGGATCATGATAATGTTCAACTAATTGTATAATAATATAAGCGGATTTTTTGTAAGTTAATCTTTTTACGTTGGGTGTAAAGTCCATTATAATAATGCTTTTTTGGTGTAGCAGCAGTGGCACACATTGCAAAGGTGCTGTGTCTTCAGGCTAAGACCACATTAGAGGCCTGGGTTCCATTCCTGGTCCAACCTGAAGGCAGTGTCATGGTGGCATGCACCTATAATCCCAGCAATTTGGGAGGTTGATGAAAGGATTTCAGTAGCTGAAAATCCTTTTAAGATCTTAAAAAATTTAAAAAATTATTTTACCTGTCTTAAAAAAATAAAATTAAAAATAATGCTTACCCATATTTTTTGTGCATTTTTAAAAGAAAAATAAAAATTTTTATAAAGGTTTATGCTTTAGGGCACATGTGCTCACAGGAGAAAGAGACAGAGACACTGAGAGGGAAAATGAGAAATCAACCCTTGGGGAAATGGCCATACTACAGTCCCTTCTCCATTCTCTCCCCGGGTTCTTGGACATGTATGCACATGCGCTCAGCCTGAGTTTAAAGCCACTGGGTTTAGGACTTGAACTGTGATCAGCCATGTGGGAGTCCAGCAATGTAACTTCTATACCATTCTGCTGGTATAGCAGATGCTGGTCCCAAAAGTGAAGTTTTTTCTGATCTGATTTTTCAATAATTACTTATTTAGTTTTATTTATTACTATTATTTTTAAATTTGGTGTAGTCACCAGAGAGAGACAGAGAAAGAGAGAGAGGGATAAAAAGTGAGAAAGCAAGCCACCAGGTCTAAGACTTGAACCCCATTCATCCATGTGTGAGTCTAGTGCCTCAACCACCATACTCCCTGCCAGCCCTCAAATGAAAACTCTTAAAAAGTTCAAATTCAGTATTTTTCCAAAGTTAAGCATTAGATAGTGTGACTCTAGATTTCTCTGAGGCTCAAATAGAAAACAGCATGCAGATCATTTTGCATTCTTTGCTTTTTTTTTTTAAGTTTTTTTTCTTTTTTTCATGGTAAGGTGCTTGCAGGTGTATGTGAGAGAGGGAGATGTGAGCAGTGAGCACTCTCCACAGACTATTGGGTACTATAGTCCCCTTCTCCCAGGCTGTTGGATCCTGCTGCTTACATGCATGCCCAGTGTGTTATAGGCTGACCAGCCTGGGCATTTGAACCCTGGTCACCTTGTGGGATTTGGCTTCTCTTAAGCAGCACATTACTGCTGCACCCATGGGGCTGTCCCCCATTCTGCATTATTTTCTAAGACTTAATTTGTTTGTTTTTGCTGTCGTATTATTTTTATGTGAGTAGTCACTTACATGGGGCCTCCTTCAGTTGTTAATTGCCTGAATATTCGTTATTAGAAGATTTAAATTAGCATTCCAAGCACTTCTTATTTAGTCCATGTGTACACTAATTCTGTGATATATAAGTAGTGTATGTTTTGTGATACGTACTCTGTTACAGTCCTTCTGCCTCAGCTTCCTAAGAAGCTGAAACCACTGGCTTGCACTAGCATATCTGACTCTTAGACAAGAATCTTGCTGTGTTGTCTGCACTGATCATGAGCTCGCTGTTCTCCTTTAGCTTCCCAAGTAGCTGGGACTACAAGCATGCAGGATTTGAACCTGAACCTTCATGCGCCTTCAGCCTGCTAAGCAGCAACATTCAGTGGCTATTAGCATGACTGGGCCTAATTCTTTTTTCTTTTTTTTTTTCATAAACACTTTTTTTTCTTTAGTTGCTCCATGAGTCAGAGACAGTATCACCAACAGGGCCTTGATGCAATGATTCACCCCTGCCAAACCAGCCCTGGTTCATGGACACACAGGGTGCCTTAAGACACACACAGCCACGTAGCATAATGCTCTCCATGTGGTCCCTGTCCTCCTTATTTTTTCTTTTAATTTTTATTGCCACATAGAACATGCACTGGACAGAGAGACAGAAGAGAGAGAGGAAGAGGGAAGAAGCATCTCCTGATGGGGTCTGGTCATGCTGCGATCCTTTTTCCTCTGTTGGGATTTTGGGGCATATACGTGCACCTCGTGTGTTGTTGCATTTTGCAGGGACTGAGGTTCCTACTGCAATTCGCCATATGGGATCCAACTCCTCTAACCACTGTGCTGTGGCTCCAGTCCAAAACAGTTTATTTGATAAAGATTTTATCCTTTGATGGCAAGATATTTTATGTGTCACTGATATTTCATAATTCCACAATAATGTAAATAGTCCTTCAAGTTCTGTCTTTCTGGTGAACGCACACACCCTGTAACAAAAACCTCTCAAAAAAAAGAAAAAAGAAGTAAAAAAAAAAATTGACAGATCCTTTTAAAAAGAAAAAAGCTACCAGTTAAACTATACAATGCTTTCTTGTTTGGAAATTGGAGAAATTTTTAGTGAATAAGCTCTTTTAGCTTTTTCTAGGCACAAATCATCATTTATCACCCCGTGCAAAAATAGAAAGAAAACTATTCCCCCCCCCTTTTTTTTTTTGAGAGGTTTTTGCTATAGGATGTGTGCGCTCACCAGAAAGACAAAGAGACAGAGAGAGAGAAAGCGAGAAATCACCCCTCAGGGGGTATGGCCACGCCATAATCCCTTCTCCTCCATTCTCCTCTTGGAATCTTGGGCACACACGCACATGCGCCTGGTGTGAGTTTAAGTCACCAGGTCTGGGACTTGAACTGCGGTCGACTACATGGGAGTCCAGCAATATAGCCATTACACTAACTGCTGGTCCTGAAAGAAAACTATTTTTAAAAATATATTTATTTTGACTGGCAGGTGGTGTGATAGTTAAGGCAGCTGGACTGCCACATGACTGACAATGGTTTGAGTCCCGGACCTGGCAGCTTTCTCTCTCACATCAAATTGAAGAATAATAGTAAATTTTACAATTCTTTTTTAAAAAGTATATTTATTATGGAATTTCTGGAAAAAATTAAAAGTGCATACTTAAGATTTTGAAAATGAAATTTAGTATTTGTCATGTGAAGTGAAGCTTCAATAGACACTTTAATTTTTAAAATGTAGAACTATTTATATTATTATCACAGGGATCTCCATCCACAAAGCGACGGGGTCAGATGTTACAGCCAATCATAGAAGGAGAAACTGCACATTTTTTTGAAGAAATCAAGGTAATTCATTAGAGAAAACATTCTCTAATCTCTTTTCTAAAGGATAAGTTGAAAATCATGGCCTTTTTGATTCTATATGGGTATCTTTTTAGGAAGAAGAAGAAGACGGTGTTAATCTGTCCTCTGAGTTAAATGATATTTTGAAAACTGCTGTACAGGTGCAGTCTTCACTGGAAAACTCAGAATCTGATATTGAAGAAAATCAAGAAAAGCTGGCTCTGGATCTTCGTTTGTCAAGTACTCGAGCAGCTTCGATGTATGTATAGTATGATTTTGAGCCTACTGTATAATAAAGTTTATATGTCAGGAAATTTGATATTAAATAATTGAGCACTTGTGTAGCGATAAATATAAATTGTCTTATTAAGTATGACTTACAAATACATGTTATCATTCCCATTTTCTTTTTTAGAGAGATTTTTGTTATAGGGTGCATGTGCTTACTGGAGAGACAAAGACACATGCACACGCACCCAGAGTGAGTTTTAAGTCACCAGGTTTGGGACTTGAACCACAGTCAACTTTGTGGGAGTCCAGCAACTTAACCATTATGTCATCTTTTGGTCCTCCCATTTTCTTTCTTAAACAGTTTGTACAAAATTTTTTAAAAGTAGGGAACCAGCAGTTAGCGGAATGGCTATGTTGCTGGACTCCCACGTAGTTGACCGCGGTTCGTGTCCTGGACCTGGTGGCTTAAAACTCAAGCCGGGCGCATGTGCATGCGTGCCCAAGATCCCGAGAGAAGAATGGAGGAGAAGGGAGTGCGGTGTGACCATCCCCCCTGGGGGGTGATTTCTCGCTTTGTGTCTCTCTGTCTCTCTCTGTCTGGTGAGCGCATGCACCCTATAGTGAAAATCTCTCAAAAAAAATTTTTTTTTAAAGTAGATCCTATATTTGAAATATAACAAAGTACAGAAATGATCTGACAGTTTATCTGTGTGTCTGTGTCAGCTTCTTTGCGTTTAGACTGAATAGGGTATGACAGTGGTTTTCAACCTTGACTTCACTCTGTGGTCACGTGGGAAAATTTTTTTTTAAGTACTGATGCTGAGCCCTACTTTCAGCTATTCTGACGTAATTGGTTTGGGATGAAACTCAGGCACTGTTATGTTCTGAAACTGCTCCTGCTAATTTTAATTTACAAAATAAGGCTAGAATTACTTAAGAGAATATAATACCTTTGTGTTACATTGTTTAACTTGTTAAGAATATAATGGGAGCATATGCTGGTTGATACTACTACTTAGCAGGCTGAGGCCACATAGGAAGCCTGGGTTCGATTCCTGGCTCACTCTAAAAACCAGGCATGGGTAGTGTGCACACATAGTCCCAGCTACATGGAAAGCTGAGGTCATGAAGTTAAGGATCATGATGTCAAGACTAGCCTTGTGAGCACAGCAAGATCATGTCTCTTAAAAAAAGAATTAATACAGGGACGAGCAGTTAGCGTAATGGCTATGTTGCTGGACTCCCACGTAGTCGACGCGGTTCAAGTCCCAGACCCAGTGGCTTAAACTCACGCCAGGCGTGAGTGTGTGCATGCCCAAGATCCCGAGAGGAGAACGGAGGATAGGGGATTGTGGTGTGGCCATCCTCCCTGGGGGGGTGATTGCTTGCTTTCTGTCTCTCTGTCTCTGTCTGTCTGGCGAGCGCATGTGCCCTATAGCAAAAATCTCTCCAACAAAAAAAAAGAATTAATACAATGAATATTGTGCTTTTTCAGTGATTTTTTTTTTTTTTTTTACATTTTAATTTTAGGCCTGAATTACTGGAACAACTTTGGAAGGCCAGAGCTGAAAAAAAGAAACTACGTAAAACATTACGGGAATTTGAAGAAGCATTTTATCAACAAAATGGAAGGTTTGTTGAACATCACAACATTGCATCATCATTTTTATTTAACTCACATGTTGTGTTACAAGAGTAGATACATAGGGTTAGAAATAAGTTGTGCGTAAAAGATGTTAGCATGGGAAATCAAATTTAGGAATATTCCTTTATGCGCTGAAGCCCTGCTGTTAGTGGCAAGGAAAAACCAAAGCTAGAATAAATAACATTTGATAAAATATTTTAAGGCTGTCCTAGGGAGCTTTGGTGGAGTTGTAGTGGCTTTTAAACATTCTTCATCCTTATTTACTGGGAGTGGTTGTAAAATGAGATGTTTCTCCTTTTAGAAATTATTCCTTAACAAAAACTATATCCCCAACTTGTTTGGGTTTTTAACATTTGCATATTGGTTCATTTCAGGCTGCCCGTTTTCAAGATTTGTTGAAGTGTGGCAGTCCTGTGGCTTATATAATACAGTATGGCTTGTGTCTTTATCTAAATGGATAATACATAGTTGGTGGTGGTCAGAAATGAAGGTTAAATTATTTTAGGCCTTAGAAACATTTTTCCCAGCTAACTGGGTGGTCCCCAAGTTGATAGATACATTACAAATTCTAAAATGTATTCGCTATAGGGCATGTGTACTCACTAGGGAAAGCCAGAGAGAGAATGTGAGAAAGCATCCCCAACGGAGGATGATTATACCTCAGTCTCTTCTCCCTTCTCCTTTAGGGATTGGGCACAGGTGCATGTTGTGTCCAGCATGTTTTTCAAGCCATTGAGTATGGGACTGAAACCACATAATTGCAGCCATGTAGGATGTAGCTCCCTTAACCATCATGCCATGGACTGACCCTAAAATGTGTTTGTGTAAGGGGCTGACCCTGGTGGCTTGGAAAACATGCCAGTTTTAAGTGCATGCATGCCGCAAATCTTGACAGGGTGGCAAAATGGAGGACAAGGGATTGTGGCATGATTGTGCCCCCATTGGGGGGGGGTACTTTTTCCCCTCTTTTTCTCTTCCTATTTCTCGGATGAATGCAAGTGTCCTCTGGCAATTAAAATGAAATGAAATGTGTTCACTTGAATTCCCTCCACCTTGAGGTCTCTACATAGGTTAGCATATATGGTACAAAGTAACCCTAAAATGTGTTTGTGTAAGGGGCTGACCCTGGTGGCTTGGAAAACATGCCAGTTTTAAGTGCATGCATGCCGCAAATCTTGACAGGGTGGCAAAATGGAGGACAAGGGATTTGTGGCATGATTGTGCCCCCATTGGGGGGGGTACTTTTTCCCCTCTTTTTCTCTTCCTATTTCTCGGATGAATGCAAGTGTCCTCTGGCAATTAAAATGAAATGAAATGTGTTCACTTGAATTCCCTCCACCTTGAGGTCTCTACATAGGTTAGCATATATGGTACAAAGTACAGGAATGCATTTTGCATGTGTCTTCTAATTTTTTTGCATTATTGGAAGAAAAGTTTATTTAAGTATACTTAAAGTGGCTTGATGCTTTTAGCTCATGATTAAACTAAATTTAAATTAATTTTAGTTAGTAATTGCTCTTCTGCTACAGTTAAGATTGCAGATCACTGGAGCCCAAGTTAACTAAATGTATGGTTACTCAAGACAGCCTTTCAGCATTTAATAGACACTCTCAGAGCTGGCAGAGTTTAGCAGTGGATATCTTAAACGGGTTACCTCAAGTTATCTACATTAACTGTTGATAAGTATAGCACCATTTAATCTGTCAATAGAAGTTTATCAAAATCAGTATTTTACGAGTGTCTTTTGAAGCAAGCAAATTAGTCCAATAGTCTTTTTTTCTTGCAGAGAAACTTTTTATTTGAACTTAGTAACATTGTGTCTCACATTAGGACAATTTCTTGGTAGGTCTTTATTATCCAGATGATCTCTATAATTATTACAGATCTTATTTTCTCCTCTAGGAATGCCCAGAAAGAGGATCGTGTTCCAGTGCTTGAAGAGTACAGGGAATATAAGAAAATTAAAGCCAAGCTTAGGCTTCTTGAAGTTCTTATCAGCAAACAAGATTCTTCAAAATCCATATAAAATATGCTCCTTGAAAAATCACTTCGTACAGTCAGTTGTGTTCCTTGAAGTTATCATCATGTGTACTTGGCTGGTTCTTGAGTTCATTTTGTCAGGCACTCAGAGAGTCTCATTTTGTACTTGCTTGTAGTGACACTAAACAAATGATAGGAGGGTAAGTAGGCCTTCTTCCGGGAGCGTAAGTGATGTTCCGTATTAACCAGACTGTCCTCTCCACCTTTAGCAAACATGCAGTTTTCTTCATTGTTTTGTATACTACAGATACATCCTATTAACTAAAGACTAGAATTTTATCCTTTCAACTTCAAGAACCTTGGAAATACAAGCTTTTTATTATTACCAACTTTTTTTTCCATTACTGAAGAATATCAATTGGAAAATCTCCACACTGAATTCTTCGGTTGCCTTTTTCTTACAGAGTGACTGAAAAGTTGAAAGAAAAGCCTATAAAAGTGCACATAGCAACTGTGTTATGTTTTCCTAGAAAACCAAAATCAAACTGAAGTTTCAAGTCCTTCTGTGGAACACCTTTATGTTTAAGATTCCCAAAGTGACACCTTCTTGCAGGTAGTATGTAGGCAAAATTTTGCAGTTAAGTGGTCACACAGCTCCTGGATGAAGATAACAGTGGGTAAGACCAAAAAGTGACCTTGCTTAGTATATTGAAAACACACACCATACATCACACACAGAACTGAATCATATCACTTGCTGCCTATGAGACTTCAGTTACTGTTTGTTTTCTAAGTTGCTATTTATCAGCTGGTGATGATGTGATTTTGTCTGGATCAAATCCTGCGCTGTTCCCCAACCCACTTCCAGATAATGTGAGAAAATAGCCATGTCAGTATGTTGGAACTCTGATGGTGCTCAGATTTGTGTGTTCAATCAAATGGGCCTAAATCAGCAAAATAATCATTATGCCTATGCCTGAAGTATGTCTGTTCTTAACAAGGGCTATACCACTGCATTTTTACATGTACCTTCAGGAGGTTGCTTTTTTTTTTCCCCTCTTTTAATCAGCAACATACATAGAAAAACGCCCCCTAAAGGGACCACATTTTGTTCAAACATGCTGTTTAAAGCAGCTGTTTACAGGATGTGTAGTGGTATGCCCCTTGTCATATACTATTAGCATATCTTTTCTTTGGCTTTGCATGGCTTTTCTTCAGGTATTTGCCTGGTATCATTCTGCTAATCATTTTTACAGAATGGTAACTTAATTTGTGCTAACAATACAACAGCAGATTCGGGTCAGTCTTAATATAAGTGTTAACTTTTTTTTTCTTGGTGCTTTTTTGAATTGGTGAGTGTTTCACCTTGTGCCACGTTCTGCATGCAGTGACTCATGCATGGTTTCCTTAACAAGCTAATATTAGCAATTGGTTCCATACAAAAATAGAATTTTGCAACATCCTTTAATAAGAGGAGGGAAGCATGAACCTCAGGCTTCTGGCACTATTACATAGTAAGCACATGAAGTAGCTTGATAATAAATAGTGGTTCTAGTACTTCACATTTCATCTGTGTGTGCAATGCCTTTTTTGGGGGGAGGTAAAAATCCAATGATAGTAAACATGTAGTTGAGTGATTAAAAAAGCACTAAATCCAACCCTTTTGGTGTGGCTTCTTTTTGGTACAACTAGGTTATTCATAATTTGTACCTAGAAAAGTGAAATTGGAAATGCCAAAAGATACATCATTTTGATTTTAATCCATGATGCAGTGTGCATTTCAGTTAACTTATTTTGGCCTCGACAGTAGTGTATCCAAACATCTAATTTTATGTGCACTGTATATTGATTTATATGAATGTTTTGTTTTGTATACCACATGCAAAAATGTCCATATGCACTATTTAAATGTTTTAAATAATATATTCCTTCTTTATAATGCTAAATCTATATGAGTACCATATTTTTATAAGTCAGTAGCCTGACTGGTTTCATTTTAGAATTAACAGCTACTTCATGATATTGGTTATTCATTGTTAATGTTTGGCCGTGAGTAGAATAAGTAAAAGTGGCATGGTAGCACTTAGGCTATATGACAGTATTGTGTGTCATAGTTGAGCAGTGGGTGGTAGAATTAGACAGTTTGTGATCATTTTACTTTGGTACAAATAAATACTGTATATCTATATACAAATAAAATATAGATATATATGTCTATCAGTATGCATTGCTGTGTCTGACACTTCATTGTATAGACTTTTGTAATAAAAGAACTTTACTGTTCTAAATCTTTGTAAATGTTTGTTTTTCTACTAGATGTTATAAAGGAGATTAAAAGTGTTCTCTTGTTTTAATGTTCTTAGGCTTTGTTTGAATCACCCCAGCTATGGACATAGCAGGCTACAGCTCTGGGGAGTGGAAAAGCAGGGAGAAGTCATGTTGATTTCCTTATCTAGGTATCTAAGGAGAAGTTACAGAGAGAACAGGTAGCATTTATTATCTTACTAGGAAAACTAGGTGTATAGTTCTAAGAAAAGAGCTTGACCCAAGCAAGATGGGTAAGGATTAGAAGACTCTCCTACTTGAGTTTCAGAATTCAGGGATTATTGACCACCAGCATGTAAGTTGAGTGCTATGGTCAGGTCATCAGTTGCTGGGCTCTGTGGGAGCTTATGTAGCCTAGAAAAATTAGCTTTCTTCTAGTTTCCAAAATGGCAGCCATATCCAACTTTCCAACCATCCAAACAGGGCTCTTGCAGCTCCTCATTTATACCTTCCAAACATGGCTTCTTATGACCCTGATACTGCTCTCTCATTTGGGAGAAACTTTAAATGTACTACTTTAGAAACTGTCTGGATAAATTGAAGTTATTCGTGAAATTATTGTAGATGGTTGGGGAGTTTGTTCTTCTACACTTAGACATTTTCCAGGAGACTTTGGATTCTGAGGAATGAAGGGATATTATTTAAAATGGATCTTATATAATGGTTTCCCAGAATCCTAAGCCTTTATTGATTTATCTATGGCCAATGGAAGTAACAGAGTCTATGATGGACTTGGAAGCACCAGTAGGGTTTTACTTTTTTTTTGTTTTGTTTGGTGTGTATGTTTTAGAGAAAGAGTTTTACTCTAGGACACATGGCGCTCACCAGAGAGACAGAAAGCGATAAATAACTACCCCCCCACCTCCCCCACCCCCGGCAGTGGCTGCGCCACAATTTCTTTTTTTTTATCCCTTCTCTTCCATTCTCCTCTCGGGACTTTGATCATGCATGCATACGTGCCTGATGTGAGTTTTAAAGCTGCTGGACCCAGGATTTGAACTGTGATCAACAACATGAGAGTCCAGTGATATAACCATTATGCCATCTGCTGGTCACCAGTAGTTCTTACACTCTGTATAACTATGAGAAAACTTCCTTTATCTGCCTACTTATTTAGCTTTTAGTTGGAGACTTGCCCTGTGAACTATATGCATTATTTTGTACTTTTCATTCACACTATAGAATTTAATAATAAACCTCATTATAAATTTGTGTGTACCAGTGTGTGTATATAGGAGGTATGTTGTAAGTATGCATGGGTGATGCAGTGGGTCCCATTTAGGAGTGCTGAATTCCTGGAAATTTTTATTATAATTGACCTGAGGATAGTTTGATGATGAGTGGCTTAGTGCTTTTAAAAATTGTGCATGAAATGGAGAAAGGCTTAGGAGATTATTCAGTACATGAATAAGTCTGTTAGAAATCAAAATGATTACTTCACAGATTCTCACCTCTATATGTCTCAGTATTGTAGAGCTGAAAACTTTCTCATCACTCGATTTAGCTTTAAACTGATGTAGTGTAATTCCTTCTCCAGTTCCACAGCATATAAAAAGAGTCTAGAAGATAAGAAAGAAGTACAGGTGTGAATCAGTAACAATTGTGAATAAAAAGACAGTGGGTTATTACAGAAGAGTATTGTAACCTCCCACGTCTTGCCTAGTGTGACCAGTTATAGATCTAATAGTCTAAAGCTGTATGGAGAACAGTATCTCCTATGCATGTCACATATATATAACAGTTCCTACAATTTAGAGATGCAGGGATTAAACAATCGGTGTCTCACCTTTTAGACGAATGGAGTTGCATACTTTGTTCAATTTTTGCTATTGGAGAGAAAATGGGAGGAAAAGTGATATCCCAACACAGTGGGATTCTGTGTTCAGGACAATGATGTACATAACTCATATCAATCCTTATATCAGTTTGTCCTGTATTACCCTGGTTAGAACAGATACTTACTCTCGAAATTCTTGTTGAGTGACAGGCTGGTAGTCATCTTGAATTTCTGTAGAATAATACTTTTTCTCAAGCCTCTCTTTCCATTTTTTCATCTGCTCTGCACTTCGAATCTCCTGTCAAGTTAGAGAGTAAGCGAAGGGCCACAGTCTTTAGTTCTCTATTTCAGGTCTTTCACACAGAAGCATTACATACAGGGTTGAGAATCTTAAATTATTTTCTCCAGGCTTCAGATTTTAAGCCCATCTAATTTTATGTTTTGCCTAAATTTTGGGTATGTGCATTAGCAAAGTCACTTGAGAAACTTGCTATAAGAGCTGTTTAGCATAGTTAAGGACATTTTTTACATTTATTATAAAATTATTCTTATTTTCCTGCCTCTTCCCATTTGCATCTCCATTTGAGTATCTAAGTTTCTCCTTCATTTAGTCAGAGCTAAGATGATGTTCTGTATCTCTGTTCTTTAATGTAGCAAATGTACTTTAAAGTACATCTATGGATATTCATTGCTCTCCAGCAGTTTTTCAGCCAGACAGCAGTCTTGCCTAAATCTCTTTTTTTTTTTTTTTTGAGAGGTTTTCGCTATAGGGTGCGTGTGCTCGCCAGACAGACAGAGACAGACAGAGACAGAAAGCGAGAAATCACCCCCCAGGGGGGATGGCCACGCCACAATCCCTTCTCCTCCATTCTCCTCTTGGGATCTTGGGCATGCACGCACATGCGCCCGGCATGAGTTTAAGCCAGCGGGTCCAGGACTCGAACCACGGTTGACTACATGGGAATCCAGTGACATAGCCATTACGTTAACTGCTGGTCCCACCTAAATCCCTTTATAATGACTTATTAGTTTATCTGTGCACCCCAAAACAAGCCCCTCATACTAGAAAATTGTGCTGCTACACCTGTCTCTGATCCTGGAGTCTTTGCTGTGTGGTGTTCTCACTACCACCCATTTTCTTTTTAGCATCCAAATACCCTTTTCCTAAGATAAAACCATGTGTGTTGTGGCAAATAGGGACATCTTTAGAAAAAGGAAAAGGAGACAGTGCACCAGATGTGATTCAGAAATTTGCTCAGGGAGCCGATGCTGGCACAGAGGTAACACGCTGCTCAAGAGAAGCCAGATTCCACATGGTGCCTGTGGTTCAGATTCCTGAACCAGTCACCCTGAAACATTGCCAGATACACGCCTGAATGTCCAAGATCCATTTGGCTGGAGGACTGGAGGAAGGACATGACCAGATCCTGTGGAAGGGGCTCCTATTTCTAATCTTTCTCTCATATGCACTCTTTTATGCATTTAAAAAATGAACCAATAGGGACCAGCAGATGGTGTAATGGTTACGTCACTGGACTTCACTTCATTGACCACAGTTTGAGTCCTGTATCTGGCGGCTTAAAACTCACACCAGGCGCATGTATGTGTGCCAAAATCCCGAATCCCAAGACTGGAAAAGATTGTGGTGTGGCCACCCCCCTGGAGTGATTTCTTGTTTTTTCTGTCTCTATCTCTCTGGTAAGCACATGTGCCCTATAGCAAAAAATCTCTCTCTCAAAACAACAAAAACACCTCAGTATGATATTGCTCTGCTCCAGAATAATGCTAAGTAGAAATGTGGATCCCTGAATAAACGTTCTAATTGCGGGAGGGACTAGCAGGTGACGTGGTGGTTAAGGTGCTGGACTCTGGCATGGCCGACTAGGGTTTGAGTCCTGGACCTGGCAGCTTGCTTTCTCATTTTCTCTCTTTGCCCTGTAGCAAATTTAAAAAATAATAATGAAAAATAAAATTATTGGGACCAGCAGTTAGCATAATGGCTATGTTGCTGGATTCCCATGTAGTCGACCGCAGTTCGAGTCCTGGACCCGGTGGCTTAAACTCATGCCAGGCGCATGTGCGTGCATGTCCAAGATCCCAAGAGGAGAATGGAGGAGAAGGGATTGCCGCGTGGCCATCCCCCCTGGGGGGTGATTTCTTGCTTTCTGTCTCTCTCTGTCTGTCTGGCGAGCGCATGTGCCCTATAGCAAAAGCCTCTCCAAAAAAAAATATATTTTTAAAAAGTTCTGTTACTTTCCTTAGGATGCTGATGCCTAATTCATACACTTTGCATTTGCCTAGTAAGTGTGTCGTGTTCTGGTTAGAGAAATAATTATATCAGATAGTGTCTTTCTTGAACTAACATATCCTAAGCAGGAAAGAATGACTTTTGTGGTTTGATTTTAGACATACTGTAGCACCCATGTTTTGACATATTTACTAATTGATTAAAAAATTTTAATTCCATTTGTTATTAGTTTTACATTTGACTAGACAGAGAAAGAGAGAAAAAGGAAAGTGAGAAAGCAAGCTGCCAGGTCCTAGACTCAAACTGTGATCAGTCATGTGGGAATCCAGTACCTTCAGCCACCATGCCACCTGCCAGCTCCTTTACTAATATTTTTAATGTGGCCTTAAAGTGGTAGGTCCTGGGCCAGCTGGTGGCATGGTGATTAAGGCAGTTGATTCTCACATGACCAAACCGAGCTGTTCAAGTCCTGGACCCAGTGGCTTGAGAAACATGCTGGGCGTATGCACCCAGAATACTGAGTAGAGAGTGGAAGAGAAGGGGTTATGGCATGGCTATACCCCTTCAGAGTTATTTCTCACTTGCCCTCTTTCTCTGTCTCTCTCCAGCAAATAAACGTGCCCTATAGCAAAACATAAAAAATAGTAGATCCTAGTAGGCTGATTATGATGTGGATGTGTTCAAGCTGACAGGCCAGTAGGTGGCGTGGTGGGTAAGGCATTGAATTCCCACATGGTCTAAGGAGGTTCAAGTCCTGGACCTGGTGGCTTGCTTTCTCACTTTCTATCTCATGAGTGTATGCCCTATAGAAAAACTTAGAAAAATAATTAAATAACATAATTTAAAAATATAGTATAGACTGAATAGACTATGCATGGTGAACTTTACTCATCTTTCAGAAAACCTGTCTGAGCCATCACTTTTTGTGTGAAGACTTGCTTAAGATTCACAGGATAGTGGTAACTTTCCTCATGGGCAGCCCCAACTCTTTGGAGCTCTTGATCTAAGCAGTTGTTTTTGGATTACTTTAGTGTTCATGGTGGCTGATACAGTCCTGTAATACCCCAGAAACTAATTCTGTCAGTATTTAGCTCCTTCTTTTTGTAGTATGTTGTGTGATTCTTGTTTTTCTGATTGAGTCTTTTCTAATGAATACTTGGTAACAGGGGAGGTTCAAAGAAATAAATCCTCATAGTTAACTGCTTCCACCAAAGAACACAACAATTTATGTAAGAATTTGAGACAACTGCCTGGTCATTTGAGATTCCTCATGCTACAGAACCAGAAGGCAAAGAAGTGGTTACCCAACTGACTGAGGTAATTGATTCCAGTTTTGCTGCCACAAAATTAGCAGAGAGAGGGCTGTAATTGTAAACCAGGGGATTCTCTAGGGTGCCTCTTAATACTTCCACATCCAAAAATAAAAGGTAATGGGAAACCCTAGCATCCCATTAAAGTCAGGATCACTGAGCATTCCAGTTATGAACTATTGAAGGTTCAGTTAATCCTAATGCAGCCAGCTGAGGGCTTGACTGTAGGCAAACGGAATGATATGGAGGGAGTTCTGGAAAGAAGTTATATATGCCAACTCTGGTCTCGTAGAAAACAAACAGGATTGTAGCAACTGTACGATTGATTTTGCTTGTTATGCATATATTTGCATTATTTTCTTTTTTTTTCCTAAAGAATACTGGTGGTGGTTAACTTTGTACTGATAGTTTAAAACATTAGTTTACAGAATTGTGATTCAACTAGAAGAGGTCTTCTTTTTTTTTAAGAATTATTTTTTTAACTATTTACTTTTTTAAAAAATTTTACCCAAGAGGGACAGAGCGAGAGTGAGAGAGAGAGGGAGGGAGGAAGGGAGAGAGAGAGAGAGAGAGAGAGAGAGAGAGAGAAAGTAAGGTTGGCTGTATGGGAGTCCAGTGCCCTTAACCACCATACTACCTGCCAGCCTTAGAAGAGTTCTTAACATTACTCAGAGATGGGTATAGTTACTGTTGGGACTTTGTTTCTCCTTTTGGGGGAGAGAATAAAAGTACATTCATTTCTATAGAGAATAGTTCCATCTTATAAGATGCAAGCTTGAAATGGTTACTACTGGGACCAGTAGTTGGCATAATGGCTATGTCGCTGGACTCCCATGTAGACGACTGAGGTTCGAGTCCCGAACCTGGTGGCTTAAACCATGCCGGGCATGTATGCGTGCATGCCCAAGATCTCGAGAGGAGAATGGAAGAGGAAGGGATTGTGATGTGGCCATTCCCCTGGGGGGCGGGGGACGATTTCTCACTTTCTTACTCTCTGTCTCTCTCTTTCTAGAGTGCGCGCACACACTATAGCACAAACCTCTCCAAAAAAAAAAGGAAATAGTTACTACTATTTTATGGAAGGTCAAATGTGTATATTAAATACCCAAAAGAGTAGATTGGGGCTACTAATATCTTTCAACTTCAATTCAGAATGTACCCTCTTACACACTGCTCTGTTAATGCTGGGCCTGAGCTTTGCAGACCTCATTCCTCAGACACTTAAGCCAGCTGGATTTCTGTTAGATTCTTCCAGTATTTGGAGGGATGGAAAAGAAAGATCCTCTAATTTTCTTTCTTTCTTTCTTCTTCTTTTTTTTTTTTTTTTTTTGTTTTCTGTTTGTTTTGAGAGGTTTTTGCTATAGGGCACATGTGCTTGCCAGAGAGTCAGAGATAGAGAGACAGAAAATGAGAAATCACTTCCCAGGGAGAGTAGTCATGTAGCAGTCCCTTCCCTAGTCTTCTCTTGAGATTTTGGGCACACATGCACAGGCCCCTTCTCTAAGATATCAGGCAACCCTTTCTTTTATCTTAAGAGTGCTAATCTCTTCCTACAGTTGTTTTTTATGAGTTGCCCCAATGTTTTCATGTTATTTTTTTCTATCTTCTATTGCCTGTGTAACCATTTCCCTGTAGCAAAATTTCTCTATTTGAAATATTGGATCATTGGAAAAGTCATGGCATATTTTTCTGTTTTTCTGTGTAAAAATGTGTCATGACTTTTCTGACAACCCAATGCAT